GCTGTGACAGGAGAAAAGTATTTAATATTGTGCTGGTAGAAGGGATTTCTTGAAGCCTTGGTCAAAAGCGTGCATGTCAGAAACAAGGTTGAGGGGTTGCTTTTTGGCTGCACCAAGATAACAAAATAGGGAGCGATCATCTTTATATTCCTCAGCATGGATGAAAAGTGCCTGCTATTAAAATGAGATGATTCAGCTGAATACGTTTATGTACTTCTGAATTACCTGACTTAAAAATACATTTCCACAAAGTGGGGACACACAGGGGAGGAAGCAAAGGAGAAAGCACTCTTACTTTTCTAGGATTCTATTAACATTAAAAATAAGAACTGAATGGAATAACACAAAAACACCAATCTTTCACCTATATCAGTGACCCTAAACTGTCGTTACATATTAAAACCACCTGAAGAAATTTTCAAACATACAGGATTTCTCAGTTGGGGCCCAGACACTGAAAAGTCCCCAGGTTATTCTAATGTGTAACCAGAGCTAAGAACCATTGATTTATTCTTTCTTATCAGGACAAGAACGAGCCCAGAGAATTACTGTGATGCCAATAAATGACTCCTGTAGAGCTCCCCCTGGACACAGATGCCAGAAATACCAGTATCCCAACACTGGTGATTATTGCTAGACTTAGCACGCAGAGGGCAGGCTCACTGCTGTTCAAAGTGTGGAAAAATGCTCCCTCTTCTCTTTCTTCACTACACACTAATGGCCACTTTAAAACCTACAAAAGTCTTCAATTGCTAACATAAAAGCAGAATTTGATGTATTACACTAAAAGAAAGGAAAAGACTAAAGAAAAAAAAAAAAGCAAATAAAAAAACCCAGGACACATTATGGAAGTATTTCTCAAATTTTAAAAGTCACGAATCCCAGCCCCAGCATAGATCCTCAGATCCCTACTTGAGAAATAAATGCATATCTGGCCCAGCCTATCCTTTCTCCCTCATTTCCCATGATTCCACCCCCTTTAAGCTTGGCACTAATGAACAGTTTTGCCAAAAATACATGCCCTTTGCACATTATTACTCCTTCTTTTCATCCCTATCTACCTGGAAACCTTCTACTCAATTGTTTAGAAGACTTTTCACAGCTGCCACGAACAGATACAGTCAATCACTTCAAACATACTATTGCTACTGTCTTAAAGATGCATCTATTATGAGTGCTTCAACTCAAATACCATTTATATGTCTATCTCCCCCAGTGTAGGTTTAGGCCATAATTAATTCACCTTTATATTCCCTAGCATTATGAAAGTACCTGTTTTAATACCAGGTAATTCAGCTGCATACTTCAACAGTCTCAACAGAGGAAAGTAAAAAAATCTTTTATTATGATCAGATCAAATTGGACTCATTATTTTTTTATCCCCACATTATCAAAATCAATATTTAGCACTTAAGCAATACTTACTGTCATTTTGGTTCGGGACGTCTGACAACCCTGATCTAAAAACATAAACAAATTTAAAATAAGATAAATATTACTTTCTTCAGAATTTTCTAAATCCGTATTTCTCATTAAGTTTTAATGATTTTTACAATAGTTACTGAAGAAAATATTTTAAGCTATTTTAAGTAAAGAATATAAATTTGAGAGCTGAAATACATAGCTAAATAAGTGGAATTAACTCTTTTCACATTTTGTCCTCTCAGAAAGTAAACATTGCTTTGGGGACGATATTATGTTCTTAAATTTAACTCTTAAATAAGTCACAACTTCTAAACAATTTTTATCGTTCCTCATAACCTACCCCCAAGCACATACAATTTGCTAAAAATAGTTTTCATTTAAAATTGAAGATGAGGAGCCGGCCCCGTGGCTTAGCGGTTAGGTGCACGAACTCTGCTACTGGTGGCCCGCGTTCGGATCCCGGGCGCGCACCGATGCACCGCTTGCTGAGGCGGCGTCCCACATACAGCAACTAGAAGGATGTGCAACTATGACATACAACTATCTACTGGGGCTTTGGGGAGAAAAAGGGGAAAAAAAAAGGAGGAAGATTGGCAATAGATGTTAGCTCAGGGCCGGTCTTCCTCAGCAAAAAGAGGAAGACTGGCATGGATGTTAGCTCAGGGCTGATCTTCCTCACAAAATAAATAAATAAATAAAATAAAATAAAATTGAAGATGATACATGATAGGTAGATGAATTTTTAAAAATTTTTGTTATAATTCTGTTTAGCTTCTCTGCGTCTCCAACTGGACTCTATTGCTTCAACTAGCACTAAGTTTTTAGAAGAGAATAAAATAAAAAGCAATACATCTAGAGAAACATCATATAGGGCACTTCCACCCAAAGAAACTACAGAAGTTGCTGTTAAACTATCTTCAAAGTCAACTATTCATTATCATTACTTTGAATTCAGATCTAAGAAACCAAAGGATACTGTATAGGTTTTTCAAGTTACTACTTAAATTATTACATACCATAATGTAAGTTTTCAGGTCCTTTCTGAGTTGTCATGTTGGGCTCGTTTTGCTGACAGTAGAAACGTAATAAGCAATGTTGATCACAGAAATGTTTCATTTCCCCACGCCACTGCACTCTCTCTTTAAGAGATCCTTGAGATTTACAACAGTCACACCTTGCAGCCTTAATAAAAAAAAGAAGGTATCAGACATTTCGAGTTAGAAGGTTTAAAAAGTCAGATATGTATTTTTAAAGATTTCTAAGTTTATCAGTGATTATTGCCAAATGATAAAACAATGTCTGATAAAGAAAAAATAAAATTATAATATAAATCGTAAACATACAGTAAAATCCACAATAAAAGTAAAAAAAAAAAAAAAAAAAAAGGTAGCAATTTACCTAATTGTCAAAATCCCTTTCTATACTTACCAGAAGTCAAAGACCAGCAGTACAAACATAGGATAATCAAAAGGGGAACATTGGCAGACCAAACTGATACAATATATTTTAATGTTTTGAGGGCCATAATGATATACTGATAGAAGTCTCCTACAATCATATTACATTGAAAATCTCTGATTAATGGATTAATTTCCCAGGTTCAACTGATAGCTCATAATAAATCAATTTAAAGAAGTTGTATAAGACCAGAATAATTTTGAAGCTCTTATGATGAGAAAATGATGGATGTTAACTTAAATTATTTTTGTTTCTCAACAGTTTAATATAACAAATCTGAAGAGCTCTAATAAATACACTAATTTAATTTTAATAACAAGAACTTCAGTTCATGTTTTAAAACACTCCATGTTTAATGTTTAATTAATTAAAAAACAATTACATTTTAAGACAACAAATTTGATCTATATCTAGGAAAACAACCAGCACTGACTGGTCTGCCAATATGCAAAATAAAACTGACTAAAATTCATACATTAAGAGTTATACTTTATGATGATGAATCAATAATCTAGAGACAAATTTTTATCTTTTAGTATCCCCTTTTCCCTCCATTTCGCCCATTTTCACTATTTCTTAACATCTTAATGAGTGAACCAAAAGATATAAATGATTAATTTCAAATATAGTTCCTTTAATAATTAAGTTTCTGATCTAGTTAGAGTAGAAATAAATTACTATAATTTTTTAAATTATCCTTTGGTTTAACTAACAACTTAGAAGTTTTGATAAAGCAATAAATACTAAATATGTTGTAGTTCATAATAATCATGGCTATAGCTTTTCCTCATTACTCTAAATAATCTAAAGGTTATACTGTGGGCTTTGAAACCTCTCACTTTATGTCTCAACAGGAGTTCAATGAGTACATACTATGTCAAAATTCCTAGTCAGGAGTATTAACAAATGATTGTGTTGGTAAACAGGTCTTATATAACAAACATACCCCAAGGTTAGAACACAGGCTCTTTTTTTTCTCCAGGTCAGGTATTTCTCCTGCTGAATAAATGTTAAATGAATGAAGATTTGTAGTATAAATTATGACTATTACGTGATGCCAATATCACATCTCTTGTCCAAAAAACTGAGCTCAAATCTTACACTGCTGCTAATATTATGTGGTAACCTCAATAACATTAACAACTTAATATCAACCAAGTCATTTTTACTCAATAATGAAAAAAGTCCCTATGTAAAATTTTCACCAGTCAAAAACTGTTCCTTAAAATAACCATTAAAAGATTCCAGGTTTCAAGTTTTTTCCCTTTTTATACTTTATACTCAAAGAAAAGACAAGGGCACAAAGGAAGGAACTGAAAGCTTAACACTCTATTCAGGAGTCTCACCAGTGCAAGAACAGAGCAAAAGTGAAGCTGTAGCCCAACTACCTCATTCATAGAGAATCTGAAAAATAAAAGCCCAGCAAGCTATATCTAATCTCTATAATCCTCACAACATTACTAGAAACTAAGGTCCAAATAGGTTAAGTGATTTGTCTAAGGCAAAATATTAAAAATGCAAAGACACGATTCAAAGCAGGCAATCCAAGTCAAAACCTGGACTTTATTTAGTACACCAAGTTATAAAGACAATGGAAAGACAGAATGAGTAAATATAACTAGAGAATAAAAATCCTAATAAAAGTAAAATGCTGCAAGAAGGTTCTCAATGTACCATCTAAAATCCAAATCAATTTGTATAAAACATATTCAAATCACTACATGTACTAGGCTGACTCTTAGTATATGTATATTACATATCACATCTCTTGTTCAGAAAATTGTGAGCTCGAATCTTATATTGCTGGTAATATTATGTGGTAACCTCAATAACATTAACACTTAATATCAACCAGGTCATATTTTACTCAATAATGAAAAAAGTCCCTATGTAAAATTTACACATTTACACAATATTTAGAAGGCCGCGGGCATAAAACCAAGCACATTCCACCCAAAGAATTGGAACAATGAAATCACTTCATTATTTTGTAATTATAGACATTTGGATTTTGTAGTAACAATACTTAAAATTCCTTTGTTCCAGAAGATTCAAAATAAATTTAGATGATTTCTCTCTATCCGGAAAAAAAAGGAAGCAAGATTAATGCCAATTTGCAAATGGAAACAAAATGTGTATATATTTTTTCAGGAAAGAATAATAACAGAACTCAATACTGATTCCAAATTTAATGCCATAACCAAAATTTTAGAGCTTGTGAACCTCTTTTGTTTCTTGTTTTTTCTTTTACAGCCACTAATGCAAACTCCTGGTAAGTGTTTGGAACCGAACTAAAATACAATGACTAATCTGAAAACATCATTAATGACCATCATTCCTTACCAACACCACTCCCAACCACAAGAGAGAACTCTTACGAAAGGTTAACATTTCTATAGCATAAGAACTGAAGTGTGACTTAAGTCTCTGGTTTAAAAGGTTTTCCTGAGCCGGCCCCGTGGCTTAGGGGTTAAGTGCGCGCACTCCGCTGCTGGCGGCCCGGGTTCGGATCCCGGGCGTGCACCCACGCACTGCTTCTCCGGCCATGCTGGGGCCGTGTCCCACATACAGCAACTAGAAGGATGTGCAGCTATGACATGCAACTATCTACTGGGGTTTTGGGGGTGAAAAAATAAATAAATAAAATCCTTAAAAGGTTTTCCTATCACTGTGGAAAAGTGGGAATTGTATGTTATTTTGCAAAAAAAAAAAAAAAAAGGCCAGTGATTCAAACAGATCTAAATAATAGGCAGGTACTAAACTCTTAATTCAAAAACCTTAATCCAACCTCTCAGCTAATACAGAAATCTCTTCTTAATAGACAAAAGATCATTCAGCCTGTACTGACATAGTCCCTTACATTATTGGACAGTTTCAACTTTTCATTTTTAGTTGATGTATATATACACACACACATCCTTGTAACTTTCCCATCCACTTGTTCCCCATTTCATCATTCACATCTAGTTTTGTAAGGGGGAACCATGAACATAAATGAATTAGGGGATTTTACCGTCATTGTAAAAAGGCATTCTTTATGATGTCCCAATATATCTTTCTGAGTACAACAGAGTTATTAAAAAAAAAAAAAAAAGAATGCAGTGATAAAAGAGTAGGTGATTGGGCACTATACTATGCAAAGCATTTAAGTGATAGGAATTCTTCAGTCACCCAAAAAGCACATTTAAAGCAAGAATATTAGATATTCTTTCTCAAATTAATTTCAAAAAACAATTGTTTTTAAAAATCAGTATTTCTAGCAATTTATAGACAAAAACAGAAAAAATTTAAAAGCCCAATAATATTTTTCATTCAGCTATCCTTTTATAACTAAAATTTACTAAAACTTTAAGTATTCATTTAATTAAAGCCCGTAAGTCATACAGTTAGACTCTTACAGGGTGTTTGCACTAAAGAATTTAATATTGCTACCATTCACTATGGGTTTGTAAAACAAATCAAAACTTGTGTTAAAAAACTGTAATCTGAAGTGACAAGTTTAAGAAAAGCTTAGTAGTAGTAGTAAGAAGTACTCGTACTCGACGTACTAGTACTTTCTTGGGAAACAGTGGAACTTTTGAATTATCTTCGCTATATATCAAACACCTGGCTATTACTGCATTACAATACTAAATCGTTTTTCTCCAGAAATTTTAAACTTACAGAAATCAAAAGAACTATCCTCCCATCTGGTTTCACATTATGCCTGGAAACATTTACTTTGAGGAAAAGTAAAATCTACTTCCTTCTACAGAGTTATCTGGGAGAAGAAAAAAACAATTTTATTCTCAGCATTTTTTGGTTGCATGTTTTCAACATATTTTATATTCCAATTTAGAAGAGCGAGTATTTAATAATCCTCTATTTTAAATCCAAAAGCAAACCATTATACAGACCAGAAAACACAGATATTCAAAACGTCTTGTCAAGTAAAAGAAACATAAGCAGTTAACTTCAAAATTATAATACTAAATATTTAAATTAAATTTAAATAAATGAAACTGTGAAGTTATTTATACTCTAGGTAGTCTCTCAAAATTGAAGCACAAAGACAAGAGAAAGTAAAACTCAATGCATATGCTCCTTCATGTGCAGGAAGCAAATGCTCATGACTAAAGATAAAGTAACAACTGAACTGGCTAGCTGTTGCTTTTAGTTTCCCTGATGGGGCACTTTTTTTTAATTCCTAATAAAAGCTGGACTGACTTTTTTTTAATGAACTAAAGGACAATTTAATGAAAGTAAAGGACATTTTTTAATGAACTAAAATCTAAAACTCTGTAATCCTAAAGTGAAAAAGTGGAAGCAGAAAGAAGGTCAAAAAATAATTTGGTTGGGACTCAATTTACCACATGTTCAAGATGATATGATGCTAGCAGTGAACAGAAGGGACTCATGAGAGGTATAAGAAAGTACAGTTTGATTAAATTAGAAAGCACACGGAACAAAGTTATTCTTTGATTATAATACTGGCTGCCTCCACAGAGAGGCCAACGACGAATCAGGAGGGACAACTCTTTTCTTCATTTTGAAAGTTGTATTCCTATTGATCATATATTTAATAAAACATCATTGTTACTTGCTTTACAAATTCACCGAGTGACAAAAATTTTCTTACCTTTATTCCTCAGATTAGTACAGTATGTAATAGTGCTATTGTGTATATTATACAAAGATGTATTGGGTTTAAAATAAGAAGAAATAATAATAAACATGTGTTTAATGTATAGAATACTGACATTAAACATAAACATAATTGTAACTGGTTATTTAACTAACATATTCTTATGTGCTGAAATGCGCTGCCTCACTGAAATTTCATCATTGCACGATGCATGAATAAAAACATTACATGCAATTATCCTTTAAAATAAATAACAGAAGGGCCGGGCCGGTGACTTGGTGGTTCAATGCACGCGCTCTGCTACTGGCGGCCCAGGTTCGTATCCCGGGCACGCACCGACGCACCGCTTCTCCGGCCATGCTGGGGCCACGTCCCACATACAGCAACTAGAAGGAAGTGCAACTATGACGTACAACTATCTACTGGGGCCTTGGGGAGAAAAAGGGAAAAAAGGGAGGAGGATTGGCAATAGATGTAGCTCAGGGCCAGTCTTCCTCAGCAAAAAGAGGAGGACTGGCATGGATGTTAGCTCAGGGCTGATCTTCCTCAAAAAAAAACCAAAATTAAAGTTTTAGATTCATGATTACACAATTAGGAAGAAATCTGTATAATAAAATAATGACAGGGAAATCGTCATTATCACATGGTAACAACTTCTGTATCAAACAATAAAATAAATGATGAAAAAGGTAACAGATAATAATAAAACGGAATTTTCACATTTGTAGCCACTAAATAACAATTGTTTTGAGATTTATCCAATTTTTCAAAAATAAAACCACATAAACAACGGAGAAGGTGTATTTGTGTACGCTAAACTAAAATTGAGCATTTAAAGCCATTCAAGTAACATTTTCTGAGTGATTTCTCAAAATTGCTACTGTCTATAATAGAACAAGACATTGGTTTAGACTAAAAGGTATGTACAGAGGGCATTAGTATATTTGTCCTGTGTGTTTCTAAAATTTGAACCTTAATTCTAAGGCTTAAATTACTTGGAAGCAACAGTAAAATAATGAAGTAACTTAAAAGTGCACCAAAACTCCTAGCCGCGACAACCTCTTACAATTTGGAATGTATCTTCCTCTTTAAAAAAAAACAAGTTAGTTAACATGTGGAGATATCTCGAGTCAAGATGGCGGCGTAAGCAGACTTGGAACTCACCTCCTCCCGGGGACACAGCCAATTTACAACTACTCATGGAAGAACTACCGGAGACAGAACTGAAAACTGGATGAGAGGAACTCCTGCAACAACGGACGATCCTAATTGAGGTGGAAGAGGCAGAGACTCCCTTCTGGAGAGGAAAAACGCCGCCTTCACAAGCCACCAGCTTCACGGCCGCCAGGAGCAGCTCACAGGTACGCAGCACTCCCTGGAGGCGCGGGGCCCTGAGCCGGGGAGCGCCCCCACTGTGGGCATTTTGTGGACCTAGCACAATCCAGACCAGCGGCATAATATCTGACTTTGCCTGCTACTAAAACATTTGGGAGCACCCCCAGAAAACCCGGTTCACAAAGAAACTAAAACCGGCTCTTAAAGGGTCCACGCGCAAACTCACTCGTTTCAGACAGCATCCTAAAATCACCAGAAAGAAAGCTGCAAAAAGAGACTCACCTAATAGGCCCTGAGTGCATTTCGGTGAGGGGTGAGACCTCTCTGGTGACTGGGACATTGGCGGCGGCCATTGTTGTGGCCTGGTGTGGGCGTGCTGACACAGACGCCATTGGAGTTCTCCCTGAGGCCTGCTAGCCCAGGGTCTACCCCACCCGCTGGAGCACCGATTTAATCCAGCTCAGCCAGGGCGGGCAGCCCACCCTAGAGACTAGCCCCACCCAA